AGAGTCAAAAAAGCACATCAGGCAACACAGAATGAATCCCCGTGACTCCTGATGATATATTGAGGTCTTATGAAATGAAACGATCAGTCTGTGCAAGAACCAGTGCAACTGGTTCATTCACTAGTTCATGTACGTAATCACACAATGACATAACATATACGCAATTATATTATTAAAGCACCCAATAATGATGTGAAACGTGGATGTTTTATGTGTCTAAAGCATATAAAGTGAATAAACTAGTCTTCATCAGCTCACCGTGACTGTTGGAGGAACTGGAATATTGAATGATTCATTCATCATAGGATCAGATTCTCTGCTATTTCAGCTCATTTCCAGTCGGAGTGACTGTCAGGCGTCTGAAAGTAAGTTTTGATTGAGTAACTTGTAGATCTGTGCTGCTCGAGCCCTGAACTGTTTCAGGTGCTTCAGTCTGATTTGGTGAACTGGTTCAACTCACTAAAAAGAACCGGTTCAGAAGAATGATTCGTTTGTGAACCGAACATCACTCTGGACCGTTTGCCTGAGGTTCTGGATTACAGGTGATAATGTAGTAAATAATGTTTAGCTTCTTGCACAGACTGATCGTTTCGCTTCATAAGACCTCAATATATCATCAGGAGTCACGGGGATTCATTCTGTGTTGCCTGATGTGCTTTTTTGACTCTCAAAGTGCTGGTAGCCATTGACTTATGAATCACCAAAAACCACGGTTTTCAGCTAAAAATCTTCTTTACTGTTCTACTGAAGAAAAAATTTAATCTACATCTTGGATGGTCTGAGGGTGAGTAAATTAACAGCTAATTTAAATTTTTGGGTGAACTATCCCTTTAAATAGTCTTTAACTTGTTTGAGTTGAGTTGCAGACGGGGAAAAGCCCAGGAAAAATCCCCCTTTAACTCTCGCTGTTTGTTCTGCTCTGTTGGCCTTGTATTACACAATGACAATGTCCCGTCCACATGCGGTCACTCCTCCACAGGGCAGCCATTGTTTCGTTCTCCTGCAGAAAGTCTTTATTGGTGCTCTAGGAAACTAAATCACTCAGCCACATTAGCTGCGCTGCGGCTAAGGAATAATCACAGCGCTCAAACTGCAGGGAAGAGCAGAACCGCCGTTTGGAGGAAAGGTTAACAATGGGAGGAAAGGCAACATGATTTCTAACATAGTTAAACAGTACTTTTTTAGGTTACTGTGGCAGGCTACAAAAGAAGTGATGTGACGTGCAGCCATGTATGGTGTCCCATACTTGCAATTTGTGCTCTGCATTTCTCCCATCCAAGTGCACACACACAGCAGTGAGTAGTGAACACACCGGGAACACACACCTGGAGCAGTGGGAAGCCATATTTGCTGCGCACCCGGGTCTCACCTCAGTCGTGGTTTTGAGGGTGGAAGAGATCGCTGTACATTCATTCCC